GTTTGGTAACAGTCACAAAATTGGAGAATTAACTAGCTTCCAGAAAACATTGTATGCGACAACTTAATACTTGATTAGAGATCCAAAACATTTTCATCAGGATAGATGAACACTGAAATGCATTATGCAATTCCAAAATATTACTGCCCGACATTAAAAAAGAATGAACCGATGGCGATGAAATTTGATATCAAGTCCAATCTTAAGATAAATTATTACTAATTGAAACGGCTTGCAAGTGTAAAATACCGCCTTTTTTTACCGTCTTATTCAAAATCTTGCCTGATAAGCAAATTTGTTAAGGGTTTTGAAATCGGTGATAAATACTATAGAGCAGCATTCGAAGTTGAGTACAAACTTACGTCAAGTTTTTCAGAGCTGGTAATCGTTGGAATTGCTGTGGCCTTATACATTCGCTTCCATTCCAGTGGGCCCCATTTTGCTTGAAATCCGATTGGCGAGATGACTTACTTGCCTATTTCTTGAACTGAAATCAATTTTAAACTGTTCACTTTATTACAAATTTAATTATTACCAACTCTGCAGAATATTTCTGCAGAGAATCAAATACGGTGATTTATAATACTAAAGTCATTTAAAAAATAAGTGAGCTAGTTAGTTAGTTTCCAGAGAAAATCATTCAAACTCCCCAATAAATTATGTAGCCAAACTTTAGCCGAATACAGGAAAACTGAAGTCTAAAATAGTTAACAGGACTCTGAAGTTTTGTAACAGAATTTTATTTCTTTATAAGCACTCAAGATTTAATGGCAGAAATTTCACGAGTAACATGTCTGTCCACTTTTTTCGAAAAATTTCGTTCGTGATCAAAGACAGAATAAGGAATTTATTATAGCCGATTATTATGGAAAAATTCTGAAATGTTATCCATTTTTACGAGGGAAACTAGTTCTTATTTTAATTTTTCACATAAGGGATGTAAAGTCAGGCAAACTCGTAAGAACCAGCATTTCGAGATAATCGAATCCACGAGGAAATACCAGTGTCAACGGTCGTTCATTCAGATGTTATCCTAGTAAACTAAATCAAAAATATTTCTTAAACTTATTTTAAGCAGTTTTTAAAAACAACATACATAAACTACGCTATACTGTTTCTTTTAAAATTTTAACTTTTATAATGCAGAACCCAGCGCGTTTTGCCAAACTAGCCCAAAATTGAATATTTGTTTCTATATTTTGAGTGAAAACGGCAAGTGCATTTTCCCTTAAAACTTGTTACTTCTATGAATAACTTATTGCATACTTAAGCTTGCTCGTGAAAGTGATTTTGTTTACCTGTAGGACCTGGCCATACCAATTACGTAAACTTATCAGGGGTTACGTAATTACCGAACGGATGATCGTGGTTCATCTTAGTAACAAGAAAGCAAGCACAAAATTTAACAACTGTACTTTATTCTGAATTATTTATTTCCTGTGATTAAATTTGATCACTCGCAGAACTGGAATATTTTTAACTACAATTTTTCCGTAAACAGTTTAGAAAAATTTCTAAAATACTTAGGGAATCCTTGTTTTATGTTACTTAGCGAACATTTAATGCTGTACAAGTTTCCTATTATTATAAAACCTTCGTGTTTAGAACTTTTGTGAAACCCGCACGAATACAATAATTTCCCAAATCTGAGAATTTCTAGCTAACGCATTAGCTGAATGATAAATCTGGATTAATTATTTAACGATAATGAATCACATTAGTGATTCAGAAGTCACCTTTAAAGAAATGTTAAGTCATTCACGTTTTTATTGTTTCAAGATGTTTTATGTACAGCTAACGTTTATTTGTACAGCATACATCCGAGTTTAATTTCCTTTTACCCCTACAAGTTCAGATTATAGTAAAAACATACTTTTAAAGGTCATACAAGCTAAAAATATATTCTCAACTCCTCTACTTCTTTCGAATGGCTAATTTTATTTGTTATAAAGCTCATCTCTACTGAATAATCTAACGTCAAGTATTTTGAGTCATTTAAGAACCAAGACCACAAATTATGGTACATAGCTAGCAGATTTTATTTTCAAGATTAACTTGATTTAAACATTGAAAAATAAACATAGTTTCATTTACATCTCGTAAATTAAGCTTTATACACAGTATTTACTACTTATTTCAAAAGAAACGCAGGTTAATACTTTCAGCCTATACTCAAAAAGGTTGCAAGGTCATTGGAATATGGCAAAGCATAAGAGGGCTGCCTCCGTGGAGGACTTTAAGGGAAAACTGGGTGTTATAAATGGGAAAAATCGCAAAAAACTAGCTATGCAGCCAGCCCCATTCTTCTCAAAAGAGCGCATATTGCAATTTCGTATTTTGGTGTGGCCTTAGCTATATATTAACTTAAAGGCTTCTGTACCTTTTTCACAATTACTTCAAGGAAAATAATCGAAATTAAGTATTTTTTAAACACGCTTGCTATTTCAATAGCAAAATTAATTTGCAAAGCTTAACTAAATATGTTTTCCCTTAATTACAGCCTTACCTGTACTTTTTACGACTACTAATCAAGAAATTTATTAAATAATAAAATACTTAGCTCCTCAGTAAATGAAACTCGGGTAGTTTCAAAACCAAACTCGCTTTAGATGCAAAAGTACATCTTTTTCATTAAAGAGATTAATAACATATATTCACCAATATCTACTTACATCATGACATTTGACCATAATTTTATTCTCTTCAAAAGGCACCTTGTTCTAGTAGTACATATGCAAGTTTAATACACATAATTATACTCCGGAAAGCATTTACCGTTCATTAAATCACGAAGCTTTATTTAAAACGGAAATTAAAACTCATTTACGTAAAAACCAAGTACAAATTATCTAAAACAGATTATCCCAATTTTAGCAAAATTAAGCGTTGGCTGCAGCGTCCATATATTTACTTAATATTTTAGTTCGTTACTGTAGGGTCAGATTTAGTATTTTGCTTATCTAAAATACATTTACTGTTCTGTAAAATGGTGTTATAGTATAACACATAAGCGAGTTCCATATTAATTTTTATTTTTAAAGCTAAAATACGTTTTACGACAAGCAATATTCTTTTAATTGTATTTTTACGGCAAAGCAAACAGGCAGGGCAAGCGATGACAATGAAATAAGCAAGATAACCTCGAAAGATTATATCTTTTCCATTAAGAGATAAAATTTAGTTAATGTACATGATGGCTGAAAATTTCAGTGAACACTTTTTGTGCAAAATACGGATATTGAAATAACTATCGAAATCCAAAAGAATTTAGCATAGAACACTGCTAAAATAATTATTGTAGGTACAACTAATAAAAAGATCTATTCAAAAGGATTTTTCAGAGTTTAGATTACATTTAAAACGAAATTTATGGACTTAAAAGCTTTAAATTCATTAAAAACTTTAGTCTTTTGGAAAATAATTTCTTACGAGATATTCTCAACCTGATGGTTGTATTTTTCCTTTAGTTTCTAAAGGACAGCAGGCATAATGAAGTCATGATAGCTGTATCGTTAAAAAATAAATTCAGACCTCATTTTCCAGGCATTACTGCAACTGAAAATAGGTGGTAAATGCTGGAAAGAGTTTTGCCAAGAAACGGATTATTCCAAACATTTTCTATTTGCAAAGAAAGCTTAAAAGAAACCTTACAATTGGGATGGAATCGCAACTGGCATAAAATATACATGAAAGTATCCAAATCCTTGTAGAGTCTGTAACACCTAATTGATAATTTTACTATTCAGTCTAAAGTGGCAACAGAATAATATGCTAGTTCTGTTAAAGAATATTGCGCCAAGTATCTGCTCAATTTTGCCCGAAATAAATGTTTTGGTCCAGGTTGGGCGGATGTTAAATTTTGGTCTTTTGAAAATAATAACTTAATATGCGCGAATACAATTAAAGATCAGAGAAAGTTAAGCCCTAGTTGAAAGGAAGAAAGCTGCTCATAAGACAAGAGAGCTAAATTTTGTTCAATAAATATATATTTTAATTTGTTTATGTAGAAGTAAACTTCAGAGGAATAAAGAACAGAATATTAATTTTGCTGCCAACTGTTAATCATGAGAGAACTATCGAAACATCCAATTTCTACGATTTTTGAAATTTACAATAACTGTTTTGTAATGAAAATTTCAGCGAATTAACAGTTACTGCAATTTATTTTTCGTTAAGATATTAAGCTGATGCTGTAAACACCTAGTATCCTTTATTTCATAGCATAAAGGAAATAAATTTCCCAGCAAATGACTTATTTCCTCTAGATATAAGCTCATATAAAGCTAGTGAAAATGTTGCACAAGCAAGAAAGTAATTTACGTTTTTAATAAGAGGAGCTGATAATAAAAAGAAGCAAAACTATTTTATATTTGTATAAAATTATTTCAAACAAAGAATTTAAAGCTATTTATTAAGGAGTACACCACTAAAATATTTGTGCATTTAATGAAATAAATTCTTAGTGATTAAAACCGTAATTAAAATAATACATGAATGTAAACTGATTTTATGCTCAGGAGCTGGGATAGCTACTTTTTGATTTTAGAACTTACTATACAGTAACCGCAAACTTCAGTAATGGACTGTCCGGAGTCCAATTTTTCTCGAAGGGCGAGGGAAATGCAAAATATTACGGTAACAAAATTTGTTATATGTAAAGAAATTAACAATTTACCCTTCTACGCATTTCAATTTTAAAAATGACAGTTTATAAAGGAGTGTTGCTAATTTTTAAGTTCTATATACTTATTCTTTGAGAACTATTTTGTAATTACGTATTTATTGTCCGTCATTCTAAAAGAATGAAGAAATAATTTCCGAACTTAAGAATTCATTTAAAATAAAGGAATTAAAACCTCTAAATGCATTAAATTTGTCTTACTTGTGCATTCTTCCTTAAAGATCAGTACACTTTTCAAGTGAGAGCTTTCATTAAACCGATGTCTTTATAGGGTTTTGCTTTCATTCCAACAAAGAGAGACAACTTTATATTCCACAGATTTAACAGACAGTTTCATAACTATAAGGAAATTTATTTCTATGGCTTACAGGAACGAGAAAATTTTTCAAAACTATAAACCAAGAACGATATTAATTTAATTAACCAACAAAGTTCAGCACTCATTCTCTCATCCAACTTCAAATTTTGTCTCCAGTTATTGTTATAATAATGATAAAGTTAACAGCTGTTAGCTCTTGTACAGTACTATCCTTCCGTTGTGCATTTATGCTTCAATTGCTAAATTTTTCAACACTAAATTTTTGCTTCAGACTTTACTTCCATCTGCAGCTTGTAGAGGTTCCTTTGGCTTTACGCCTTCAGCTGGTAGAGATTCTTTCTTGCTCTCATCTGTAGCTAGGTAGAGGCTCCTTTTGCTTTACGCCTTCAGCTGGTAACGATTCTTCTTGGTTTAAAGCTTTTTCCAAGTCTTCTAAAAATATGATTTTTTTGCGTAGGTCGCTTTCGTCGTACGTTTTAATGGTGAGGACGCCATCTTGACTTAGAAAGGTGACCAAATCTTCGGGTTCTACAGCATTCGGCAAATTATACTTCCGCGTAAATTCTCGACTGACGAAACCATGATCGTCGGCATAAATTTCATGTTTCGCACTCACAATAACTTTCCTTCCAGCAATTTTCACATTCATTTCAGAAGGCCTAAACTGTTTCACTTGTAGCAATACTTCGAAAGTTTGTTTGTCGTTCTCCAAATTCAAAGCACCCGTCTCCTTTTCAATGGACATTTTCTGTTCATCTGCAGAACGTTGTTCAATCGTCTTCAAGTTGAGGCTTTTCATTTTCTGGTCAGGACTTCCCATTTTGAAACGAAGCAGATTATTTTCTCAGAATTCCCAGACAAATAGTTTGTTGAAGTTCGATTAGTAATAGCTCCAGCAAGTAACTTTTTAGCACTTGAAGGACAACAGCAAGTCGACTTTACTTCGTATTACTTATATAGACAATGGAACTGAATTTCGTAACATACGAGTCTTAAAAGCGCAATCAGTATAATCTGCTTTGGTGACGACTTGTGGAGACCGGCAAATGAGAAAAATTCGCCAAGAAAATTTTGCAACCAATGAGATGTCGATGCATTCTTAATTTGAATAACCTTGTTATTGTGAAAGAAGTAAAACGAACCATAAATAACATGTTAATTGAAATGTTTATTAGAAACAAATATATAAGTTCATAATGATAAATAAACTGATTTATGATTTATGTATGTTATAAAATAGATATCAGCATAATGTGGATAGTGTTTTAAAAATGAAGGCAGTTCAAATGAAAAATTCAAATGAATTTTAATAAAAGGGAACCATATCTCGATCATTGACACATTATTACAAAGTTTAAAGTTTTATGCTAAACTTTGAAGTAAAATGAAACAAAATTCTCTCTTGAGAATTGCTTTAATTGTTCTACAGAAAGACAATTTTTTTTAATTAATTTTCAGTTATTGCACTTAATGGATTTATGTGCTGTGTAACTAAGGGACAGGAGTTACATTAGTTACTTATAAAATACTGCGGAATGATTTAAAGCTTAATTTGTAAAGAAAATTTGTTAGAAGCGTTTCTTTCAATGCGTTATTACATTCATAATTAATTTTAAAATATAACTTCTGCTTACGTTGCAAGTACTGTTTTAAAGCATTTATGAATTATTTTAATTATTCCATTTAGTTTGCCTTAGAATTAAAATTATTTACTTTTTTTTTAATCTCGTTTTCTTTTCTTTCTACGGCCCACCAGCGGCCGAGCGGTAAAGTCGCTGAACACTGGTAGTTCGGTCCGAGGTTCGAATCCCGCGAACGGGCTGGCTGCATGGGCGTTTTCGTGGTTTTCCCCATGTGTAACGTGTATACGAGCCAGTTTCCCTTAGAAAGTCCTCCACGAAAGGCATCCCTCCCCTTAGGCAGATAGCCCTAGTGTGCTTTGCCATAATTAAATACACCACACCAACACCACATCTTTTCTTTCTACCCTTTCCTTTTCTTATTCTCGTTTTGATATTACAAGCGCCTTTGGGAAGTTTATCCAAATTTTTAATCCGATTTTAATTTAATTCAATTTACCCATTACTTTAAACTGCCTTTATCATCCATAGAATTTGGCAAGTGATGCTATCGAACGACATATGAACTTTATTTTTCATAAACGTCGCCGATTAAGGATTTAAAAGATGTTGCCATTCGACATTTTAATTCATTTTTAAAATTATGACTATACTACTTAACAAACTGAGCAGCTTAAAAGCAACAGGTGTACTTATTACTTTATGATTCAAATCTTTAGTTTGAGAGGACTTCTACACTCGAGTCTTTCCAAGTTTTGTGATAAGATACGTTATGCTGCACAGATTTAATCATTCACGAGGCCTGGTGAATAGCTATTTCTGTTACCTGTTGCCAGTCTTGTGGTAGGAATACGAAGTTAACTTTCCTTGCAAATTGTTAATTTTAAAACTGTTATCGATCTTGAGGCGAAGGCTTTTAATTCATTTTTAAATTATAAAAGCACATTGCATATGCTCTGTTAAATCGAATGTATAATTTGTAAAAAGTATTAGGTATTTTATCTTATTTTTAGGTACAATACCTAATACAGATTTATGTCATTCTTTGATAATTTACCTAACTGATAATTTCTTTTATAAATATTTGCACACTTAGCTTGGTTTATAAAAGACATTCTTAATGCCGTTTTTAATAATAATATATAATATTAATATATATTATTAATAAAAACGTATAATATACATAATATACAAACGCATATATTATGTAATATACTTAGCTATATAATATTTTGATGGTTGGGAAGAGGGGAGATTAGGGTTGCAGATAAAAACATCGCAGACAAGAACGTCGCGGAGTTCATATGTCGATGTTTTAGTAAGAAAACATCGCCTCACTAAAACATCGTGATACAGTCTGCTCACCACCAGAAGAGACTTGGCATACCTACATCATGTGATGTCAGACGATCCTGACATCTTACTTTAGGTAAACCGGGACTAATATTGCATGATCTATAACAATGGAATTCGGATTCATTCATTTGCAACTTTGGATGAGTTCCCTCCTAAATGAAACGAACTTCCCTTGTTAAGTCTCTTCTCGTGGTGGACCAACACCTCCTAGAACTAACTTAGGTTAACTAACTGAGTTAGTTCTAGGAGGTGTTGGGTGGACAGACAAGAAAAACTAAACATCGTAGTAGAATAATAAGCGATACAAAAGCTTCGCGTTTTCAAAACATCGTTATGCAAAATACCGTGATAAAAAATAGAGCACCTAAAAATCATCGTCATAGCAGATATGCGTTTTCTGACAAAAATATTTCAATGAATTTTCACGTAATGATTTGTGAGCACAAGAAGAAATGAGTAATATTTTCACCTTCAAATTCTCATATTTTTGTATTAATTAATAATTTTTATTAAAAAAGCAAAAAGAAAATTTAAGCATTCAAAATCTGAAAATTAGTAAAAATTAATGCTAAATATAGCAGTTAGTAGAATTTACGCTTATGTATCTTCCTCTTTCTAGTCTTTTTCTATAGTACATTTTTCATACAAATCTACTAATGTGCCTTTATAAAAGAGGCTAATTAAAGAGTGACTTTTAATAGTTAGCAACATAAGTTTAAAATTCCAATAACTGCTATACGTAGCATTAATTATTACTAAATTTCAGATTTGAATACTTAAACTTCCTCCTTTGCTTTCTCTAAATATTCATTAGTTAATACAAAAATTCGAAATATACAGCTAAAAGTGTTACTTACTTCTTCTTGCATTCACAAAGCGGTACTTCCTTATTATAGCGGACCTCAACCTTACGCAGCTATGATTTTGCCAAACTCGTGAAACGCGAATGTAAAAATAAAACGACGCGGTATATAATAATAATAGTAATAATCCCCAGATGGTGTCTGCTTAGAATACTTTTAATAATCATTAAAGTGACTGCAACCAACTTTTTCAAATTGCTCAGTTTTATATCCTTTCCAGCAATTTCATTAGATTGTTGATACATCTTGCATATGTTGAACAATTTTTTCCATTAGTGTACTAGCATCTGTATTTGAGATCTGAACGACAAAGTTCTCTTATCTTTCCAGCGTATTTCTCCAAAAATCCAGTGTTGTGGGAGTACTGTGTCGCTGATGTTGTTACGCCAGATGAACAAACTGTCATCGATTTCAAATATTTTCCCATTGAATCTTTGGATCAGACGTAGAGAACATTTCCCACATGTAAATGTTCCATCAGTTGCAAAATTTTCCTACATATTCAGCTGTTTGTTACATCATTTGATGGAGTCAGCTCCTCTGTCCGCGAATACATAAACCTAATAACAGTGACCAATGATATTCTGGAGCCACTAAACCAGTTTAAAACACAGAAGACCTTCTTCTTTTTAATAATTGATTTTTAACATTACTTCTTTAAATAATTTCGTCATTACAGTTTCCTCTAGTGGCTATTTTCGCATAGTTGCTGGACAGACAAAAGACTTCTTTCTTGAAAAAATGGTATGCCACTCGTTTCTTTATTTGGTAAATTAAAGACTGTTAACTACAAATTTACTAAAATATATATATATTTAAAAAATCAATGCAAATTTGAAAATTTTAGCAAAAATTAACACGATGCTAATATACGGGACGATGAGTATCTCGATTTATTACCGATTCAATCTCAGAGGCCGAGAATAAGGAAGTACCCACAAGTCATTAGGTGGAAGTTCACTTAAACATTTTTATAATTAGAAAACCCATGTTAGCGATGGTATCACCGTGCGATGATTTGTAGGTGCTTTATTTTTTTACCACAATATTTTGCATGACGATTTTTTAAAACTGCAAAGATTTTTTCCCTTTATTTTTTACCATAATGTTTTCTCTTACTTTCTTTTCTCCCATGATTTGCAAGATGTTTTTCCTTGTGTTTTTTCCTTCGCGACGTTTTCGTCTGCGATGTTTTCATCACCGGACACCGGAATTAGAACTATGTAGTACTTCTCTCTGATGTATTTTCTCCACTTATATTTTGCCTTAAAGTTAAATTGTTTTATTTTAAGGAATTTTGAAATAAATAGTTTTTTTAATGCATATAGCACAGTTTACATTCTGTTCTATGATGTGATGAATTAAGTCTTTTATATAAACTGGAGCAGATAAAATACACCTTCAATGAATAAAATATACCTGAAACATTATTTTACGCAAAGTACGTGAGCAGCACGGATAAGCCTAATTTAAATTGGAGTTGGTGAATAAACCATTATTGAAGGAATAAACATTCATCATCTGCAAAAACGTCAGAAAATCTTTCTTACTAATCTTTAGTTAAGAAAATCAAAGATTAAGTTATAAAGTGAAATACATGATTTTTTTTTTTTTTTTTTTTTTTTTTTTTAGCCCAAAGGAGCAATTTGCTCAGAAAGCTATTAATTTCGTTTCGCCATTTCGCGTTGATTCACTATAAACGGTGAATCACTTTTTAACTTGTTGCCAAAAAGTATTCGAATCCTGTACTATATTTAAAGAAATTAAATAATGAAGATTCTGCATAAATGTATGTATGTTTTTCGCATTGTGATAAAACAACGGTAGCTAGAGCCATCAAATTTTGAATAACGTAAGTCTCCACCTGAATATGGGCATCTACAAGCCCAAATTTGGAATTTGTTTTATTACCTATTTCATATTTTATAAAGCATTTATGGGTTTTTGATTAAGAAACTCAACGATTTCAAGGCGAGCAATGGCAATACTGTGCGGGGGGGAAACATTTTTATCTACATCGCGTGAGACTGTCTGTCGGAAATTCTAAAAATATGCTCTTTTAAATATTTTGTGATATTGAATTTTATGGTTCAAGTGCGAAGAACATGATATTTAATAAATAAAGATAACACACAAAACCTTAAAAAAATGCCCCTTTGAGCGTAATATAAAATCTGAAAGCTTTGAGTTTTTTTTTTTTAAATTTTAGGACAGAAATTA